CTCGAAGCGATTGTCATCAACAGATGATAATGGAAGAAGCAACGGAGCCAAGAGCACTTCTAACAGTTCTAATACTGTCACTTTTTTCTAAACCCACAAAAATAATTATTGATTTCAAATTTTACTTTGTTCTGGTACTTTAAGAATAAATTGTCGATGATTTAAACATGGAATGGATTAAAGAAAAGCTTTCCTGTATCCGAAAAGATTTTTTTTTGAACTAAAATTTTATTAGTCCCACTTAAAAAAAATAAAAAAAATCAGTGTGATCTTGCTTTTAAAGTTGCTAATTTACATATAACACATGCAACCCCGCAAAGTTTTGCCATAATAATGCAAAAGGTAATATTATTACCTCGTATTTCAATATGTGTTTCATTGGTTGAGCTTCCAAACTCTTCTTGCAAATTATTACACATTTATTACAAATTCCACGTTTTTATTTTATGTACATTTTAATTATGTTTATTGTTTAAATAAAAATTACATAATTATTATAAAATTTTTGTGACTTAAAATTATAAAACATTAAATTTTTTGAAATAAGTGAAACAAACATAGCGCACTAAGTTCTGTTGGTTAACTTTCGCTCTTAGCTTTTTAAAGCAGGAGAAGAATTTAATTATAAAAAAGGTTGTTAATAAGGTAGAATTTATCTGATTTGCAATTTTGTGAATGAAACAGTGAAACAACAAATAAAACATTAAATTTTTTGGAGTGAGTGAAACAAACGAAGTGCACTAAGTTCTTGGTTAACTTGCGCTCTTCGCTTTTTAAAGCAGGAGGAGAGTTTTATAAAAAAGGTTGTTAATAAGATGAAATTTATCTGATTTGCAATTTTGTCAATGGTTTGTTTATAAACGCACGACTCGGTGTTTTCCGCAGATAATTACTTCTAATTGTCTGTCACATTGGATGAATATGCTAAGGAACAACAAGATATTTCAGGCAATAGTCTCAAACTGCATAAAATTTATTATAACCGAGTCTTTTTAATTGCAGTCACGAACAAGTACGTAATACTAAGAATAGCCTTTATGCGAAATTAATTTCTTTTGATTAATTGCATTATCGTAATTTGCCAGGAGGAAAAACATGTGAGAAATTGTTTTGTAATTATTATCGGCATACGATCTGTATACAATGTAACCGACGACAAATTGAACAAAAACGAATTGTTTAGCCGTAATTATTTGCGGAAAATGCGGTTATCGATCATCTGGCTGTGTCAAAACAGTGCGAGAAAAGGCCGTTTGTCATGGTTTCATTGTTACCGTTTGACATAAAGGGACATCCCCCATCGCATTCGTCCTAATAAAACCATCCCCATCCACACTGATCCATTAATCCGGGCAATGAGAGGATCTTTTCATCGAGCTTATTGGAAAGTTTGGGTCAACAATAGACGGTCTAAAATGACCGCCGCTCTTGACCCAAGGAACAATGGACCGGCTCAGGTTGTAACCCATAGACCTACGATGTTATTCTACACAGCGTCACTTCTTGCATACCATATGGCTCGCGCCATCACAGGCGCCGCCTTTTATACACTCTTAATATAAAAAGCAATTTTTTTCTAAAGGCATATGGTGTTAGTAAATGAATAGTCTAACACGTGCCGAGGGTCAAACACAACAGTAATAAGCTCGTTGTGTCAATAATGATAGGTATCGAGTTGAGAGTTGAGGTTTTTTTATTCAGAAAAATGTAAGAATAACCTCGTATTTTCTGATATGAGGTAATCACGTAATGTGTGTGTGACCCGAACTTGATGCACACACCACCCTAAGAGCATCTGTTTACTGGAGTAAAAAGTTTCTTTTTTTAAAAGACGGGGTTCGTATCGGAAATTAAGGGAGGGTGTTTAACGAGGGAATGTGGAAATTAGCGGTGACGTTCTTTAAAATTGGAAAGATGCGGCGAGGCATCTGGATGTTTTCATGTTACTTAAAATTATGAAATGGGTTTGAAATAACCGCAATCTGCAAAATTATGATATGCCACGTGGCTATAAAATGGGGTGCCAGAAGGTATCCATAAAATGTAGTCGATGAAGTAATTTCTTTTCTCCCCTGGAGTTATTTGAAAAGAGCAATTACATGTTTGGATTTATGGGGCTTTTAATAGATTTTCATATCAAAAGTTACATTTTGAGGTCATCAAATATTTTTATAGTACCAAGAACTTGGCACCACTAGAAAGAACACATACCTTAAAAATGCTCTAAAAAATTTAGTTAAATATGTTGATTGTTCGGAATTATTCGTTTCGAGTGACTAACCACAAAGCTCCCTACGTGCATTTTTTATTAATAAAATAGGCAATTATCTGAAAAAAAATATTCTATTATTTCTATTCGTTTAACTAAGTTGAAAAACCTACAATGCTTATATGGCATCTTATTTTTGTCCTGAAATAGGATTACTACAGAAAAAGGGAATACTTCAAGAACTATAACAACAGACTGATTTACTAGGAAAACTACTCTGTGATACAATATAAGCACAATTTATGGGAAAAGTTTTTATGGCTCCATTGAATTTGAGTAATTATTTGGAAACTTGTAGGAGATTCCACAGAGGCGAAATATCTCAAATGGAGAACATCTCTATTTTATTAGATTAGTTTCTATAATGTGACATTTACATAACATTTTTTTTCATTATATTCCCTCTGGTTAGCTGAAACCACACAACCACACAGCCATATACCTACATAAATATCAGAACCTTGTAAAGTGTGAATTTGACATTTTTATAGTGTCTTTAATAAGACAATAAAAATTCTTATGGCAGTTTATGGAGGAAATTAGTCAGCGTTTTTACTCACCTTTACAGGAAGGAGTGATTTTGTAATTGTAGAAAAAAATGCCCTTATTAATTATATGTAAATACCAAACAACAAGAGTTTTCACATTCGAAAAAAAATGAAAAAAAAAAACTATCATCCGATTTTGGAGTCATTTTGGAAAATCATCTAGAGGCTGAATCTGAATATTTCGCATCAAATTCATCAAAAAGAGATCAGAGTTAGTTATTTCAAATTCTAGTATTTAGCAGCAATTCATTACATTCAATTTTCTTGTGCTGTTTTATACTTTCGAATTATTATCTTATTAATTAATGGGAAAAGTTAAACGGTAGACAGATGCGCCTTGCTAGAAATTAATCGAATGAGAGCCTCTCTGCCATTGTACATTTTAACCGAACTGTTACAATTTGCCATAAATTATCGTAAAATTTTTCCCTCATAATCGAACCAAACACCTGTTTTATTGGGAATTCGTAAACGTACATTCCTGAAGGCGACGCAGTGTAAAAGATATCGGTAGGAGGCAGGTAGCAGCGGCAAATTAATCGAACCTCTCACAAATCACAGTCTAATAACAGAGCGCCTTCTTGCGAGTTACCGTCGTAGAATACGCATACCGAACGGATCTTTATTGGGTTAATTACAGTCGATGGTCATTTTTTTTTCATTATGCCTTGTTCGGCGAGTGGAAACGCGGAGGGATTATCGGTTTCGCTACGGTCATTTGTCGTCAAAGTGGATTACTGCATAATCCGACCCGTCAGTTTGAATGATGTCCATTATACACAGGGGGGATGGGAAATATTCATGCTAAACGGGCATTGTGTCGATCAGCATTCCCGTGAAATTCACAACAAAATATGCCTCAAAGATTTGCTCCATGTCAACATGTTTATGCTTTGCGTGGTTATTATGGCTATACCCTAGTTTAGTTAAGGGGATTGATGGTCATCATTATAAGTAATAGCATGGGAATGGCAGTTGCTGTTATTAAATCTAGATCCGAAACGCTGAGTTAATAAACCAATCAAAACATTCAATTTGTCGAATTGCCAACATGTTATAAATTGAATTCATTAAAGTTTTATCAGTTCAAAGTAATCCAATTCCGAGATAGGACACGCTATTTAACTAATTTAGTGGTAGGTAAGGTCAATAAAAGCTTGTTTTGATTAACTTATTATTTTTACGAATCTGTTGAGTTGAGTTACGGGCAGGTGGATAATTACGAGAAGTCATAAAAGTTCGACTATACGGTTAAATAATTAATCCCACACAAGTTATAAAGTGGACATCGCTGTCATCAAAAACATAAATTATGACAAGAATATTTTGTTATGTAATTTCCACTAAATATTGATTAAATTATTGATTTCGGAGATAACATTCAATTTGATACTTATATCTACATTTATTGTGAAATTTTAAAACTTAAATGGTTAGATACAGCGATTTGTGTGGGCATCTGTAAAAAGTAGATTCAAATTATTTTAGTCATATGTTATTTACGTAGGACTTTAAACGACACTTCTACAAATTTAGCGAATTTTTGATACATTTGTCTTGTTTGGTAATGCTCAGATTTATAAACAAAAAAACATCTAATTATGTATTAAAAAATACGTTGATTTTTCTACCATACATTGAAAAAAAAAATCGTCTTCATTTATCTAAAAATTATGAAGCTATTACAACTTTTTTTTTTAATCTGCACTGACCAATGTCGATGTCATTGTCTTAATTTTTTAAATTTGTATCAACTTTAGTTCTGTCACGTATCATTCTTTAAAAGTTGAAACGAAAATAAGTTGCAACTGCACAAACGGAAACACTGCACTTGACAGCAGGAATATTGATGATCGGACGTTGTTGTCTACATTTTGCTTTTTTCAATAATGACCGCTAACTCTTTAATATTGTCACTGTTTGGATTAGATGCGTCCAAACAAACGAAATTAATGCCTCTATTGTTGACTATGTATGGGATTCTAAGAACCGTCGATAAAATTCTATTGTTTTGAAACAATTTCCCTTATTAATTTGGTAAATCGTCGTAAATTTGACTTGACAATGGTGAATGGTCGGTATACGCACACGTTATGTTTAAAATTATGGCTAATGAGCAGCTTAAAGTTTTTTTAACATGATGGTGTTTATTTGCATTGTTTTTTTTTTTCTTTTCGTTGCAGATGCGTGTTCGTCACGCACCACGCCGAAACCGAGGCCTCCAGCACCTACTGCACGGCCTAACATCACATTCCACACGTACGAATGTCCGCCGGCGTACGCGGCCTGGTACTGCCTTAACGGAGCAACGTGCTTTACCGTCAAAATTGGCGATTCCCTCCTATACAATTGCGAGTAAGTATCTCCCCAAACCTCGCATTTTTGTTTACTTTTTCTCTATCAGGACTACTCGATTCCTCAAGGAATCTCAAATATTGATTTCTACTTCTGTTTACAAAACGAGACGCAATCTAATGATGATTTATAGACTACTTCTTTAATACTGTCCCGAAACTTTTTAAGAGCGTTTCAAAAGAATAAATAAGATTAAATTTTTTTGGTGCAAATACGGTTGCTTTATCTTTAAACGAAAATGCAAGAAGAGAAATCTAACAATAATGCCATTTTGTATTGTTATTCAATGTCGCAAACTTTCAAAACAATGTTTTTTTACCCTTTTATGAGGGTATGACATATTTTTAATTTATATTTTTTCACAAACTCCTAAAAAGAGTAGGTGTGCTTTCTTTTATTACGATATCTTTGTAATTTAATAATTATTATAATATGTATGTATTTTTGAATTCATGTTTTTGCATTATTTTTTATAATATCGTTTAATTAAAAAAAGTCATCAAATCAAACAACGTATTTGGTACAATTTCAAATTTACTTTTTTTCCACAGTTTGGATTAAATTTTTTTTTTTTTAATTATTAAAAATGCAATCAAGGATATTTTAATGAAATAGACTATTTATGTTTCTTTTTAACTTCATGCGTCTAAAAGCGTAATTTTTTTTTCTATAACAATTTGTTGAGCCAAAAATGCAGTTTAAGTTTTAACGGATCCAAGTTTCCAACAGAAATTCGCAATTTTGGGAAAATTGAAAACCAGTTAATTTAATAGTTGTATAAAATTACTAACTCCGAAGGAAATAAGCTGCATTATTGAGTACGAATCCTAGAGCAATTCAATATTAATTAATTAATTCTTTTTTGAAGATGGCAGACAATAGTACATTATATTATAAGTGATAGGAATGCATCATTATACGCGAGTGAGAATTTGACTGTTGCTTTATCTTTAAACGAAAATGCAAGAAGAGAAATCTAACAATAATGCCATTTTGTATTATTATTCAATGTCGCAAACTTTCAAGACAATGTTTTTGTACCCTTTTAAAGCTGGTATGACATATTTTTAATTTATATTTTTTCACAAACTCCTAAAAAGAGTAGGTGTGCTTTCTTTTATTACGATATCTTTGTAATTTAAAAATTATTATAATATGTATGTATTTTTGAATCCATGTTTTTGAATTATTTTTTGTAATATCGTTTAACTAAAAAAATTATCAAATCGAACGCATTTGGTAAAATTTCAAATTTATTTTTTTTTCCACTAGTTTGAATGAATTTTTTTTTAATTATTAAAAATGCAATCAAGGATATTTTAATRAAATAGACTATTTATGTTTCTTTTGAACTTCATGCGTCTAAAAGCGTAAACTTTTTTTCTATATCATACCTTGTTGAGGCCAAAAATGCAGTTTTAACGGATCCAAGTCTCCCAACAGAAATTCACAACTTTGGGAAAATTGAAAACCAGTTAATTTATTAGTTGCATAAAATTACTAAATCAGAAAGAAATAAGCTGCATTGTTGAGTATGAAAATTAAGACGGCAGGCAAAGGTTATTTGTTTTTTTTTGAAAATTTTTTGTTGCATCATTAGATTTACATTCTTCTTGTTTTATAGTTTATTCGTTTTGTGTCTAATCTTGAAATTTAAAGCAGGTGACTAATAATAGTTATCCTTTAACAGACAATTCTTATTTGGTTTCTAATTAACATTTGCGACGATAATTAATTGCGCGCCTTAATAGTACATTATTCATTCCATTTATAAAGTAAACTGTAGGTTAGAATAATCGTTAATTTTTATCGAACAGTATTTATGATAATTAAACTTCGATTCAGCATTAAGGTTGTCTTTAATTGGAGTTTGTTTGGTTGCAGGTGTGCAGAAGGTTATATGGGTCCTAGATGTGAATATAAGGATTTAGACGGTTCATATTTACGTAAGTATTGACCGAGTAATTTTTGAATTAGATTATATTTGTTAATTTTTTCATTTGCAGCGTCACAACGAAGGTTCATGTTGGAAACGGCGAGTATAGCCGGTGGAGCAACGATAGCGGTTTTTTTAGTGGTGATAGTGTGCGTCGTTGTGTATCTGCAGTATAAACGCTATAATAAAATGAGTCGTGCAACAACGGACTGCGTGGACGGACACAGCACCCCTTTGAACACGCCGACGTTCGGCACCCGATGGCGGACGAATCCGCCGGCGGATATCCCGGTGGCGGTGCAAGAAGCGGGCGATTCGAAGGAGGTCAGTTGGAACGTGATCAGGTCGCAACGATACACGCTTCCAATCAATCGCGATTTGTGTAGTGCATAGCTAGCAAACTACTATTCAAATTAACAGTGATGTCGGCTTTAATTGTGTTATAGAATTATGAGAAGTCACGGACTAAATCTATGCCTTTGTATAAAAACAAATACAGAAGTGAGTAGCACTTGTTATACGCAATTTTGCTATCAATTCGTTTTTCTGCATCTTGGTTATTTATTATTGTCAATACTTTGACAGGAAATTTACAGTTTGGAATTAATGTTGATCTAACATTTTGTGAAATTTTGTTACGTTCATTTGTCCGAATGCAACATTTTGGATTGTTTATCGATTTTTGCTAGCTATGACTTTGGCATTCTCGCAGTGAGCAGAACTGTATTAAAACAGTGTATTTGTACAGCAAGTCTGATATATGTAAGTCTGAACTTTAAGTTATTAAGTTATTTAAATGAATTATATGTATATAGGTACCTCTCTGAGGTATTTTAATTAAAACAAATTGTATAATACACAGTTACGTATGTTTTTGAACTATTTGTGCAGATTGAATGGTTTTTAAATTATTATCCTTTTTTTAGTTTGTTGAAATATTACATTCCCGGATGTATTCGTTTATTCAAAACCTCGCTAACAAATGTTGTTATTGTTAAATTGTTGATTTAATAAGTAATTTTTATAACTGATTTATTGATAGGTGTGTATAAGAAGAAGATACTTCTGAGTATGTTGGTGGGATTTGAACAGTGATTAGTCGAAATAGCATAGCAATAAGTACCTACACCAAACGTACATCAAATAAATATTTTTCGTAAATTTTTACGTACACGCTATCAATAACTTATAACACCGATAAACGAGACGAATTTTTGTTGTATAAATGTAGATATACAGTAACTTTATTCCAATAACGAATGCTCGATCATTCGCAATTATTGGCAATAATATGAAATGTAATTTAGTAATTTAAATATTTATTATAAGCACTTGGTTCCTAACTTATTGAAGTAAATAAACTTTTGTATTATTTTAGAAGACGCGTTCCTATACCAAAACTACAAATATCTTTAACCCAATTGTATTATTTTAAATTATTCAAGTCTTCTAACATAATATATATACCTATTTATTTAATTCCCTGCCGATATTTGTGATTTTGGTATTAGGCCAAATATACGTTTGCCAGTTGTTTATGCCGTAAATTGATTAATTTACGTCCCCAAACCAAAGCCCAAGTGTATCTTTTGTGCAGCTCAAACGACACAATCGCATTACCACTTTTTGTTCATGATATTATTTATGCTTCTCTTAGATTGATACGTTTTGTTTGAGCTACACAAAATATATCAAACAACAAGTATTAATATCATTAATATATTAATAGTTATATTTTCTTCTTTCTGTAAGCGCTCATTTTCTACGCCGCCCACTCTCGGTGTCGTTTTAATTTGGCCTCATTTTTTAAGTCTTTTGTCTAAATACTTGTATATAATTTTGAAAAATGTTAGAATACTGATTTGTTTATTTTCACATAATATGTAATGAACTTAAAAACAATAATAAGAAAATATTATGCTAATAATTCTTTTTCATCCCGACACAAAACATCATAAATTCAATATTAAACATTGTTTATTTCCAATCAACTATTTAAAACAATCATTGACCTTTTTAAATTCTCACGTTTTTTACGTTTTTTATCGCCTTTCTTCTTCTCTAAAGTAGCGTCTCTGAACAACTGAACTCCTTCAGCCGCTTCAATTTCCCTCTGAATGAACTGCATACCATACAAATTATAGCCAACAAGGTCCTAAAATAAATATTAGAGAAACAATCAATTTTTTTACATAACTAACCCTCAATTCCTGTACTTTAGTGAAAGCCAACTTTTGTAATTGTTTAAGCGTTACGAGTAGCGTGTGGTTTGCCACAATAGGTGAATGATGTAACTTCAATAAAAATATGCAAATTTTGCAAACCAATTCTATTTGATCGCCTCTTGCGATCAAGGCCGGTAAAATTTGTAACACTTCACAAACTGATGCAAATGGTAGTAACAGGAGGGCCTCTTCTAAATCACTGTAAATTTTTGATTACTATTAAATAGAGGGAAATTGCAAATTAACCTTGGCCGTATTCTCCTGATTGTTTCTAAAAGAAAATCGTCAGGAGTTGAAACATTCAAAGCTTGCATGAGTAAAGGTGGCTGAGGTGGCGGTAAGGTACGACTGGAGGCCGCTTGGAGAGCTTCGTGCTCAGCCAACTGTTCCTTGTATTTTTCACAAATTTCCAAACATTCCAGAATGCTGTCGGCCTAATGAAAGTTATATAAAATACAAGTTTCACAAATCTAGAAATGCTCACAGCCTTTTCGCTCCCAACAGTTTTCTTCGAAGGTAAGTTCAAACCACTCTGACCCGGAATAACCGTTTGTTCTCCCGTCGCGAGCACTTCCTGTTGCTCTCTTTCTTCCTCTTGCTCGTCTTGTAACACCAAAGGCTGTTCCGATTTTTCATAAAGTCGCAAAACACGGTCTGCTCCACAGGAAACGACAAATTGGCCGTTCGGACTCACGGCTAAAGCCCAGGCTTCACCTGCATGGCCCTTTAACAAAATATTACTCCTGGAAAAGTTCATTTCAAGCACACTTACTTGAAGCGTTATTATTTTCTCGAAAGAGTCGCCATCCCACTGTTTGACTTTACCATCTTTCCCACAAGTAAAAAAATAATGGGTTCGTGGTACAAACTGTAAACCAGTGACGGAATCGTCATGGGCAAAAATACTTTTATGGCAATCACCGAAATCCATTCCCCATATTTTTACATTGCGATCGGCGGACCCGGTTGCTATTAAAGCGGAATCGGATGAAATATCTAAGCAAAGAACCGGGAGTTTATGGCCGTATAATGAGAGATAAAACTGGAATTAAATTAATGAAACTGTTTTTCAAGTAATTATCGTAGTCACCTTTAGAGTATCGATAAAAAATATCTTCACTGTTGTGTCTAAAAGGCCCACTGCAATAAATTTACCGTTGGGCGAGATTTTCACACATAAGACAGAATCCTCGAGTTTCAAAGTCTTGACATGAAGAAGTGAAAGAACTTTGGCTTTACTTTCGCTTTTCTCATCGACTACTAATTCGAATTGCCAAAATTTGACCGTCTTGTCGCCTCCACCCGTCACACAACCTCTCTTCAAGAAAATGTATTATTAAAAAGTAGTGTATTTTTAACGAATTTACTTGATCTGGTTGTAAACAAATGGCCCACAACTCCTCGGTATGTGCCGGAATTTCCTCCAATATATCCCCCGCCGCAATGTCGATAATCAGTAAAGCGCCATTCTTCAAACCTGCCAAGACGTGACGATCTCCGGGGACAAAGATGCAAGATAAAATGTACCTAGTTTCAAACATGGTATAAAATCATCGAGTTTTTTAAGAATGAGAGCAAAAACTTGTTATAATCAGTAAGTGTAACAGACACGCAATGAAAATCTCCACTTTTATTAATTATATGTTTTTCTAGAATATTTATGTCTACACATTCGAGATTAAATTGTTTTAACGAGATAAATAACACGAAAGTGATGTTTGCGAAACAATTGCGATGGAAAGGCGATTATAGTAATGTGGGCACAATCTATCATGACTTGCGAAGGAATAACTGCTCTAGTGAATGCAGGAAGAAAGCTGTTATAAAGTCGTGTATAACTGGATGTCAGGCTGAAGCGTGGCAAGCATTAGCACTTCAACAAAATTACAACAGGTAATTATTTAGACAAGAACTAAGTTGCGTAATTTATCACAGGAGTTGGGAATTTTTTCGCTATCAAGGTCATAGTAAACCTACCCTGTTTCCACAGTCCTCAGACAAGCCTGTGAGGGTCGATTCCACATTTTGACAGCCTCTGCGCTCCCAGACGCAATTGCTAAATTATCATTACTAAAACATACTGATCTAACTTCACTGTGATGTCCCTGGCTGACGATAGATCTCAAACATGTTGCTTCAGAATTTTTCACAGCTGTTTGAATTGTGTACAGTTCAACAGTGTTATTGGACAGATTAACAGAGACTCTCAATTCGCCCCCATTGCCAAGCACCAAATCCAATGATTTCGGTTTATTTGATAATCTTATTGGCACCAATCGCTTAACTTGATCCCTTAAACTCAACTGCAAATCAAGTTGGATCTCTTGGCCTTCTATTTCTTTTCTAAATAAGAAAAAATAGTTACAATGGTCTAGAAAATTATTAAGTTTTACTTATTCTTCCTTTCTTTCTTGAGTCGTTTTTTCAAACGCACTTGTGCTTCATCATCTGAACAAAAATAAAATAATTCCAACTGTGTATCAGTGCCATGGCAGCCAATTACTTGACCGCTGCCATCACAGAACATTGAGACTACTCTGCCTTTACCAGCCCTCAGTAAAGACCCTATTTTATGACACTGCAAAGGGTGCTAAAATCAAAATTCGTTATTAGTTTAAAACACACATTAATCATTGTTACATTCAAGTCATCTGATTCATGTAAATCAATGAGTTCCAATGTTGACGTTAAATGATCAATAGAGCTTTTGTTTTCTGTGTCAGGGTCTTTTTGTGATAACTTCCAGACTCTAAGTTCTGCATCACCACATCCTGTTACCAAGTACTGGTCATCTTTGACTAAACTCAAACCCCAAACCTAAACAATTTTTTTGAGAATATTAATTTTTTCAATAAATTCCGTACCTCTGTCCTGTGACCTGTGAGTGTCTTAAAACAGTGTTGAGTATCCAAATCCCAAAACTTGACAAAACTGTCTTTGGACCCACTTATTAGAATATTATGTTGGGACATGAATGCAATCTGAGTAATTGGACCTTTATGGCCTGACAGTCTACAAAGTCCAGTTTCGGCCACAGTGTCCCACACAATAACATCAGTGTCCTATAAACAAACATTTTTCTACTTATAGTTAAATATCCAGTTGTTTACTTTTGATCCTGACGCTAATTTATGTCCGTAACTATCAAATGCCAAAGTTGTGATGTCTGATCTATGGCCTGAAAAAATACTAATCACTTCTGCTGACTTCAAATCGTAAATTTGAATGTTTCCATCGGAGTAACCGACTGCTAAGTGTCTTTTATTGGGGCTAGCACAAAGAGCTGTTACTGACGCCTTTTCTCCTGGAAGTACTTGGGCCTACAAGAATAGAAATCAGAAACTAAGAGTTAACCAATAAACACAAACTTTTTCCCCAAGCCTCAAGTCCCATATTATCACATGTTCGCATGCACCCACTGCCACAAATCTTCCTTCTTGTCCTTCGAGTGTAACAAATTTTAGATTGCAGTTTTGACTCGCGATTATATTGAAGTTTCCAGCTGGAACGTATCTTAGATATTGTTTCGTCAAACCCATCTTGTGATTGTGTTGAAATGAATGTTGTGTTTAATTTCTCACATGCTGTTTATGGGAAAAGTTAGGTTATTTTAAATTTAACCTCACAATTTCACAAAAGTTAATATTTGATGTGTGGCGCCAGCTAACATAATCATTGCGCAAAATTATGTTTTATTTTGATTTAAAGCAAACTGCAAAAATGCTGTTTCAATTTTTTTCTAACAGAGCTAGTGTTATCTATGCGACATATTTTTAAACATAAAATTACAGTAATCTGTGAAAAAGTTTTACCGTCAAGTTTTTTTAACTAAATTTACAGTAATCTGTTTTGTTGTTTTATTTTTTGTTACTATTTGCGGATTTTGCTCACTTTTTTTTTTTGCACAATTTTTTTGTGTATTTTTTGCTACTTAACAAATCTTCTCTTAATAATGATTTTATTTTTTTTAAATTTACAGCAAACTGTAAATTTTCTCTAGCAGGGCTAGTGTTATCTATATGACATATTTTTAAACATAAAATTTTACGTCACGTTTTTAACCGCAAATTTACAGTAACCTGTTTTTTTTTGTAAGCACTTGCACTTGTACTTGCAATTTTTTGCTCAATTTTGTAATTAAAATAATAAGGAATTTTTTCATGTATATTTTGCTACTTGACAAACTTAAAACATTTTAAAAAATCTAAACTATAATAAACTCCTCATACATACAATTGCGGCCAAAATCGACGTCAAAAATAAATTTCAACTAAAACTTTCAAATTTTAGTTTCAAACGTAAATCATAAGGACAAGAAAGCGTGGTTTATGTAAAATTTGTTAAACATGACATAAAGATGTCGAAAATTCCCCGTTCGCCATTGTACTCATTTTTAACAAAGACCACAAGCCGTTTTTTGTGCAACTTTTTGTGTACACAGGCAGTTTTTTGTCCAATTTTTTGTCAATACGAATGATTTTTTTGTTCCATTTTTTGTTAACTTAACCAACATTACATTTTTTTTAATCCAACTTATTAAGATCCTGATTTTTCACAAATTCTCAATAAAGTGCACAAGCAGTTTTTGCTCAATTTTTTGTGACCATATGACATTTTTCGTTCTATTTTTTGCTACTACACAGATTTTAAAAATATTTTCGAAAATCCAACCTAAACTTTTTACACAACAAATTTTTAATAAAGTCCTCAACCGTTTTTTTGTACAACTTTCTGTTTTCACAGGCAGTTTTTTGTCCAATTTTTTGTGAATACGAATGATTTTTTGTTCCACTTTTTGTTAACTTAAGCAACATTACATTTTTTTTAATCCAACTTATTAAGCTCCTGATTTTTCACAAATTCTCAATAAAGTGTACAAGCAGTTTTTGCTCAATTTTTTATGATTATATGACATTTTTTGTTCTATTTTTTGCTACTGCACAAATTTTAAAAATATTTTCGAAAATCCAACCTAAATTTTTTACACAACAAATTTTTAATAAAGTCCTCAACCGTTTTTTTGTGCAACTTTTTGTGTGCGCAGACAATTTTTTGCCCAATTTTTTGTGACTACAAGTGATTTTTTGTTCCACTTTTCGTTAGCACAAGCAACATTAAATTTTTTTTTAATCCAACCCGATCCAACTTGGGCTCCAATCGTTCACAAATTCTTAACAAAGTGTACAAGCGGTTTTTTGTTAAATTTTTTGTACCCATGGCTGATTTTTTGCAGAATTTTTTGCGACTGCAAGTAATTTTTTGTGTCCGCATGCAATTTTTTCCTAATAATTTTATGTGTGTCACACGAACACAAAGAAATTAAACACTTTTTAAGCATATCATTTATTAAATAATCTTCATAGCAAATACAAAATACAACTCCTAAAGTCTAGAAATGTACATACTTACTTGAATAAAAAATGTGTACTTATTGTCTGATATGAACATGGCAGTAAATGGCCTTATTTAAAATGAGATCGTAGACCTCTCCTTTTAATATCATAAATAAATTGCATCCATATTTATATCTTTATACATAAATGTTAATATACAAACGTTAAAGCTTTTTTCTATTTAAATATTGCGCAAAATCTAGGTCATAATTACAAGTTTAATATCACAATGTACATTTTATACAACATTATTAAATCGAATCAATACAATAAACTTATTACAAAAAAAATTATATTCCTAAAACAATAGTCAGCACCAGCTGACAGTTTTTGAACTATTGAATCATCTGCAGATACCTGTTTTCTTCTAGTAAGGAACTGAGCGACGAAGTCATGTCATTAACAACCATATTCGAACTCGTGGTATCCCCACACTTGGCCAATGGGTGCGTGGTGCTACTGACCATATCCGAATTGCTAACCCAAGACTGGCAATTCTGTACATACTCTAAAGTCCTTTGATACGTATCTTGCCTCATACCCAACGGTTGAACCGTCGTCCCATTATTCGCATTTGTCGGTCCCGGATTCACGACACCCGGTGACATCTGCGACTGGCTGATGTCTTTACACTGAATCTCCGTGTTATTCCTGCATTGGTGGAAGCACTTGTGAGGCGGATTTCGACAGTTGCAGTTGCAATTTTGCATACATTGATTGTAATTCGCTTGGTAACACGTCTGGTTGTAGTAAGTGCAGGGCCGGCTCATCTGGGCCTGCTGGGGCTGATTCATCAGATCAGTGGGTGCTGGGGTGGCCATTGCTGGCGATGGTAGCGGCTCGTTCATACTGGGGAGACAGTTATAGGCAGGATTCTGGATGGGTTGGTACGTATTACAAGGATAATTGTTGATGGGTTTGTTGGAAGGGCACCCATTAGGGACGTAACCATTGGGGCTGCACATCTGGTAATTGTGAGTCGTGCAATTTGCCGACATTCCCATGTAACTCGAATTGACTTGCATTTGTTGCCGGCAATTGTAGTCGTTATTAACGCTTGGTGAGTGGCAGACGTTTTGTCCCGTCATCATGTTTTGATTGTGGCACTGGCGGCTTTGGTTGTTCTCCCAGCTTGTGCCGTAGCACATTGTTCGGTTGAAGCATTGGTTCTGTACCATTTGGTTGTTGTGAAGCATCATGTTTTGGTTGTGTTGAATCATGTTGCAATTTTGCGGAACAACTTGAGCGTTAGGGCTTTGCATAGGCATTTGGTTTGAGTGACATCGCACCGACATGGGCGAGGGAATCATCTGGTTTATGTTCGAGACCGGGGAAGGTACCATCTGGTTCATACTAGGAGCCGGTGACAACATCGGGTTCTGGATAGTACCGAAATTGGAGGAAGGAGACGGCATAATCTGGTTGAAGTTGCTAGCAGGGGAAGGCATCATGTGGTTAATGTTGGAAGCCGGCGAGGGCATAATCGCCGATGGAGACAACGCATTGGTACTTTGAGGTGACGGCAAGGCCTGGTTCAAATTTGATGGAGGTGATGGTAATATTTGACTCAAATTAGACGGCGATGGTAGAGTCTGACTTGGACTCGGTAGCGGCTTCTGAGCCGTATTGGAATCCGACCAACTCATGGCCGTACTAAAATCATTGTTTTGGTTGTCCGCCACTTGGTTCAAATAATGAACCATCTCATCCGGAATCACCATCAGCTTATTTTCAACCATTTCTCCCTCACCGACTTCATCCAAAACCACGGCTTGGTTGGGGTGAAGTTCCGATGAACTCACTGTTCCTTTCAGGGGAGATAAAGTGACTGAAGCAGGTCGTGGAGGGGGGCTCTTGCGGTCTGTCAGAGTGTGACAAGGTTCTGACATTCTTCGTGCGTCTGTACTGGCGGTCGTAGTTGATGGTGGAATGTTTTCCGTGAGAGTATTTGACATCCAAGTTTGTTGTATCGCTGTTTGTTGAAGAGACGCGTTTTGTGTCTGGAATTAACACAAAAATTTAAACTTTGGTAAAAAAAAATTAATGTGTGATTACCTGGAGTATCAAATTGCCATTGCCTCCGTTGACTTTATTTGGCATATTTTGCAACCTTTGCAATTGACCTGCGAGTAGATGCGAAGGTGGCGAAGGTGGTATACATGTTCCACCGGTCGTTGCAGTTGACAGTTGACTCGATCTTCGCGAGCTTCCAGCCGAAATAGGGTCATAAAACGACCCTGGCGCCATACCAGGTCGCATACTAGAAGCCTACAACACAAAAATAAACCATAAAAACCGTTTCAAATTTTGAACTGTAAATACAGGCTGTTTGAGGATTACGAGCAAATATTTTAACCACTAATAGGACTCGTCAAAAGAAACAACTTTCGTTATTCCAACTTTAGTCGAAAGCACGTCATTTCTGAGTTAAAATTAAAAATAAATTGAGGCTGAAACCGGTCCCCGCCTATGTCTTAATACGATGTTTACAATTATTTATAAGAAAAAACTTTGGAACGTAAACAGCGTAAAGACAAAAAAATTATGGCTACATTAGGGTAGATTAGTGTCAATGTTAGTAGGTCAATAGTTGCTATTATAAAAAATTGCTCGAAATGTGGTCATTCGTTGGCAATGCACACTTCTTGTACTCTTCGGGCTAGGGAAGCTTGCGTTCGCACACACAGTCCTTCGAAGGTATAAATTTGAGCTGCGTACACTAATTCACTAATTGTTTCATGTAAACCCCCAAAAAAGACACGTATTTAAATCTGGTGACCGCGGTGGTCATTGACGACCAATCCATCTCTAGGGAAAATGATTGTTCAATCCATTGATGACGACTTTGGCATAATCTGATGGAGCTCCACTTGTAAATACCGCATGTGTCGCCAAGGGCACGTCCTCGACCAGATCGGACAACACATTTTCCAAAAAATCCAGATAAACGGCACTAGTTAAACGTTGAGGTAATATGTGGGGTCCAATTTGGTGATCTTCAATGATCCCCGCATTAACGACTAACGAAACCGACACGTGTAAAGAAGTGATAATTTTTTTGGACAAAAAGTTTCCTTTTTTCTGTATCAAAACTTTCACGGTCATCATACAATACAATTGATATTTTTACTTCCAACTAACAAGGACAGACACACTGAACGGCTCGTAAAAATCATAGGGGGGAAATCGCAAAAATAAAATTTACGCATACGGAATTTGTTTGGTCTTCAATTCGACTTTTCATAAGAAATTCTCTTATTAGTGGTTAAAATATTTGCTCGCAATCCACAAACACCCTGTATAGTAATACCTGAGATGCTAAACTACTCTTCCTGCTCATATCTGCACTCCTCATACTTCCATAGTACGAGCTGACGGTAGAATTGCTATCTCTCCTGATTTGTGCTTGAGTATTCCCCGGTGATTGCAACCTTTGTTGCAAGTCGGTAAACTGAGTCTTGTTTTGAGCAGTTACATTCCCTTCCATCTTCAGATCATTGATCCTTCTGTTGAGATCAGTAATTCCGATATTTTTCCTTTGTCCAGGTGACATCGTCATGTTAGACGGAGGTTTCGTCTGTAGTCGCGGTTTCATCCTCGTCCTTGGATTCCTCTCACTCACTGCTACACCTCCGCCGACCATTGCCCGCAGAACGACCGGAAGATCATCAATCTGCAACAAATCATTTTAATAAATCAAAATTTCTGAAACAGCAAATAAACTACCTCCAAATCTTCGGCGTCGTAAGGCCACGCGGGGTCATCCATAGGCCCATTCCGTTGCACAGCCGTCGTCAAATCCCCAGAGAAATCGTCGTTGCAGCCACCAGCAAGCTGGGTTGCACCTAGAGGACTCCCTTGTTGTTGATGTCCCGGCGAATTGACGTCCGACTGGAAAATTAGTTTCAATAAAACGCCTTTATGTCGAGATATATCCTCTTACCTCTGATTTTATACTCGGACTACTCAGACTTGCGGTTTTATGGCTTTGCATGTCTTCGCTTCGCGGGCTCGAGTCTAAACCAGCGGCACCGTCCTCGGAACCACCATCGATACCTTTGTGTTTTTTGTTGGCGTAGAAGTCAGCACCATGGACTGTTTTTACGTGTTTCCTGAGTGAACTAGGGTCGGTGTATCGCTTCGTACAGCCGGGGGCCTTACACACGTAGGGTTTCTAGAAATAAATGTTTTTAGCATTTTTGTAAAGTTTTTAAAATGTCGAACAAGGTGTAACGGCAAGCTTACAAAAATGGCTTACAAAAAAATAAGTAAATTCGAAAAACCTTTACGGCTCAAGTAACACCCCTCCCATACATTACACATTCACCACTTTTGAGTTCCGACAGGCAGAAACTTCGGTTTTGTGCCATAAAAACAAGGCCTAATATAATCTACTTTTAATCATTAATGAATCTTAAAAAAGTTATTTATGAATTAACGTAGGAACTGTTGTAAAAGTTGTAAGCATTGTGATTGGCGTGTTTGGGGTCGGCCATTATAATAATGTTAGAAACCAATCACTTTAGCTTTTTAAATTCATTCAAAAATTTAGTGCAATGATGTGATTGGTTCGTGTGAGGTCGGCCATTATAATAAATGTTAAAAACCAATCACTTTTGATTTTCAAAAATTCAAAATATTCATTCATAAAAGTAATTCAAATTTTCTATTGGTAATTATAATTGACGTTTTGGAAGATAAAATCAGAAATAAATACAGCGTTTCATAAAAATTAGACGAGTTTTTGAATTCATAGGCAGCTAAACCAGTAACTTGTTAAAGAAAGACAAAAATCACTAGAAGTTAACCTCAAACAGAGAAACAAGTGAGCAATTCATTATCTTTCAAATATTTTTATTATTTATCGTTATTTTTATTCCTGTTTTTAAAATTTGTATTGCGTGGAAAAGTGTCTCTTTTTATGTTAATCTGATTCTAATTGTAGCCACATCTGGATAGTCTCCGGTAAAAAAAAAATTGCACCCCCATAGTTTACACTGTAGCAAGTAAAAATGTGATTTCAATGATCTTTCTACATAACCCTACAACATTCTTAGATTACAGATAACTTTTGCCACATACGCCACCATCGATGATTCTGGTAAATCTTTTTGAAATGTTAAGCTAATAAATCTACAACTAACTTATGTAAAACTGGAATGGAACTTCTTCTGAAGTGACTTTTTATTTTGTTGGTTCCACTTGTAGAAAATACCTACACCACTAAGTAATAAACCAATTTGCAACTAACAAAGATTACTTATAATTTTGCGGAAACTGCCTACCTACATTATGATGTCTTCATTAGTATTTCAAGTTCATATTCGTATTATTCAAGTTACTTACTGTTATAGTTATATTTTCAGTTTTTGTGACGAGGTTGATTTAAATTGTGAGTCTATATCTGGGAAGTAGGAGCAAATACGTTGTATATTTTACAATCATTCGACGGTAAATTCGGTGCAGACATTTATGAGACTAATTATTTAATTATGTGATAATTAGGTAATCAATCGACCTCAATGTTAAAAAAAATCCAAATCAAAACTATTGCAAAAAAATTAACGAGCAAAATCATTTTCTCTTGTCAATTTTTTATTTTTCTGTAATTATACTGTAATTATTCTCATTAAAAATGAGAACCTAAAAAAAAATTATAACCACAACATAACGTATGTGTCTCATAATTCTTGAAAAATAAATGTATTTTACGTAAAATAACTCAAACGTTATATTAACCTGAATCTCTGAATTTGTAACAAATTACCTAGCTGAAAATCCTTACGTATTTTCAAGTAAATTGAGTCAGATGGTTCACAGTTTTTTGTTTGTTTGGAGCCGAAATTCATAGCTTACCAATACCCCTCTTTCTTATTCTAGTACTTACTTAAAAATCTTCCGAATTTGTCAGCAATTCGATCAGAATTTTGTAAAAAAGTGAGTCTAAATAAAAAGCAGACTTACCTCATTACTGTGTGTGCGGTTTTGGTGTTTTGCCCTATCCGAAGCATTACTAAATGCTTTGGAACAGCCTGGATATTCACAAGTGTACGGCTTCTCCCCCGTATGAGATCGTAAATGAGTTTTCAAATTCTCTAACCTCGAGTAAGCCTTAACACAACCTTCAAACTACAAAAAAAAAATTAAAACCCAAAAATTGATTCAGTAAATTCATACTTACAGTGCACTTGTGCGGTTTTTCCCCCGTGTGCCTCCTCATATGCACCACGAGCATATACTGCGCTTTGAACGGTTTCTCAGCCCTCGAACACCCATCCCACCGACACACAAATGACTTTTTATTTGCGTGTATATGATCGTTGTTAATGTGCTACAACCGGCAAATTAGTAAAATGTGATTTTTAACCAAAATTAGACGTACTTTGACCAGCTCATCCTGCGTTTGAAATTCAGTACCACAATCCTTCCAATGACAGTTAGTTTCGATAAAATCCCCAGGTTCGTCTTTGAGATCAGTTTGGTCATTTTGCCCCTCATTAATCGTCCCACTGCCGGTATTACTTGGTTCCTTCTTAATTTTGATTTTTCGCGCTTGTGCGTCCGAATCTAGATGAGTTAAAGTACCAGTCTCAGATTTTTTCTTATCGTTAAGAGCCTAAAATTTTCAATGTTTTTCTGTTGAAAAATTATCCTAAGACTTACATCAGTCTTGGAAATGTTGTGAGGTGACGAGACGTGTAGCGGGTGGTGTCCTAGAGAGTACATAGAATGAGTGGGAGTTGCAGGGGGTAGAGGGAGGAGCGACCCTGCGCTCCTCATGAGGTGCGCTTGGAGTTGCTGGAGGTGCAGTTCTGGGTGCATGTTGAAAGCAGGGCTGATAGCACCAGCTGATAAGTGTCCATAAGAGCCACTTGCACTGGACGACCTCGAACCATTGACCAACACCAAGGAGTTGGGGGAGTACCTGATCGAGTTGATGTCGAAGGAATCGGAGTAAGGAGAGGACGATAAAGCTCGCTTTCGCGACTGCCTTATGCTACCCGGCCTGGGACTGTTCAGCCGTGAACCTGCCAAAAGCGCACATTACACAAAGCACAAGCGCGGGAAGTGATTAATTACCGTCTATGCTAAAAGGAAATTCGCTGCTGGCCAACGCCGAAGATGGATGGAGTTCGGATAATCCCCGAGCGCTGAGGTATTCAGGAGAGAGTCCCAGACCTGAAAATTGGAAAAATTAAATTTAGTCACGAAAGGAAATATGCTTATGGCTTAATTCGTGCGGACGCGGCGCCAGTCGTCGAATAAATATAGACAGAAGCAATAATTACGCTTCGCCAAGTGCCCCCAAAAATAAAATAACGCACGATTTACTTTCAAACTTATGTTTCCTCCAGTGAACAACAACACTTTTAAAAAATCTGGTGTTAATCAAAATTTCGTCAGTTTTTACTAGTAATAAAAAGGAAGTGGCTATTTACGTTGAGATGATTGCATGGTTTGGTGATGTCGGATTTGGAGGAGAACCGGTGAAAAAGAAAAACGTCCCGAAAGTGACAGATTAGCATATGAAATGAGATAATTTCAACGGATGGCTATAATTAATGGCGCACGTTTGTTGACGTTCCTTCCTCGATCGATCAATCTTATTGGTCATGTCACTTTCCTTCACAGTTATCCAGTTGGAGCTCTGAACGAGCTTTGGGACGTGCACATTTCATGACGAATTTGTGATGACAAATTCGTCAATATAACGATGGTTATATTTTATTGTGAATTATTAATGCTGTTGCTGCTTAATTAATGTTTGTCACGTCTCAAAATAATTGCACCTCATGAACACGAATTAAACTTGACCAAGACCTTGAAAACCAAAGAAAAAAAGGAACTAGACTATTATTATTACTAAAAACACTGTTCGACAACATGTTTTTTCTTTAATTTCTCAAAAAAAAAAAACAAAAACAAACAGAATATACATTTCATTTCACCACTTGCAGAGTGAACCAGTTCAATATAGAGTGGTACAAAAAACATTTTTCTCAAGTAATATACAAAGTAATCGAAATTTTGGCATCTCATATCGTATGATCAAATAAATGTGTGATCGAAGTCGACCCTCAACCAACCAACACTGACTCTTCTTCATTCACAAGAATTTGTACCAGATATCACAACAGTAACTTAACTGCTTTCATCAAATTGTCAGTTTTCAGTAAGTTTTATAAACATAAGCATTTACTTACTTTTTATATGTAAATATTTATTGCGTATTCTTATGTGTAAAAAAGAAATATGAAAAACATGAAAGTTAGAGTAGATATTAAAACAGCTCTTTTTGTATTAAGGGCGTGAAGGAGGCGATCAAAATTGCCATTCACGCACGAAATCCAAATAATATTTTTTGTAAAATTCACCTTTRACCCTTAAACTGCTCCAAACGTATATCTACGCCGAGTGGTTCGCTGCTCAAACCGTATATCTACGAAATTACTTTTAAAATGTTTTAAAAGCAAATAATGACTTATTTTGAAATTATATTTGTTTCTTAATATAAAAATACCATAAAGGCATTGCTAATTCAATTTTTTTTTCTTTGGTGTTGTTAACTGCTCTAAACGTATTTATACGCGGTAACTGTTCAATGCGTTTTTAGAAACCCATGGGGCGGATTCGCATTTTTTTCATAACAAAATGTTCAAAAGTTGTGTACTGCGATATTAGGGCGGAAAAATGAGTGATGACTTCTTACAAGCAAAATTATTTTATTGCTTATTCAATTTTTTAAATTTGCTTCTTATTGTTACATGAGAAATGTCTTTTTGCATCAACAATACAACACATATTTTTTACTAATCAATAGCTAAGGTAAACTTTTGGTAAAAACGGTGACAAAGTATTATTCTGTTTAAGAAATTGATAATTTTGATTATTAATTTTTGTGAAAACAATTAGGAGTATTTAAAAACCTTATAGGGAGCAATAAGGTTTTTGTACTGTTAAAATATTGCACTGAATAAAACAAATTATCTTTACTCTAAATTTTGCAAATACAGAGCTGAAAATTTTTCTAAGAATTTGTGAATTTAGCAGTAAACTGCTCAAGACGTATTTATACGCAATAAGATTTAACCGCTCTAAACGTATATATACGCACGAACCAAAATATGTGCGCACACAGCAATGGATTATAAAATTAATTCAGCARTTTAAGGGTTAAGCTTTGAACGATTCGTTCTCAAAAATCGAGTTGTTGTTGGTTGCTAATATGATGCAAATAAATAAAAACAAAATACAGAAAAAAAAGAATTGTGTTTTTTCAAGAAGTTGAATTTGTGATAAAAATATGTCCGAAAACGAAAAACAAGAAGAAATAGCTATTTTAGCCGAAGAAGCGAAAGCTGTAACACTTGAGTTATTACTACGAAAATCAAGAGAAATCTATGAAAAAACTTTCAATGAATTTTTGCTATGGTGCACCCAGAAAAAAAACGTTGTACTTGTTTATTTCAAAGAAGAGTCGCAGAAATTTCGCCCATCTACCTTATGGTCTCATTATCCTATGATTCGTTCGGTTAGGGTTTTGAAGCATGGTATCGATATAAAACAATATAAGGTTTTATATGCATTCTTGAAGAGGCAAAATGAGAACTACAAACCCAAAAAGTCAAAAGTTTTGGAGAGAAAGGAAATAGTACAGTCAATTGTTGACTTAAGATAGACATAAATGTGAATGTAAACAAATGATTTTGTTAATTTTTTTAGTTTTTATTATTAGGTATTAGCTAATAGTTTGTAACTACATATTTCAATAAAAGATATTACAATTGTTGGTTTTTTAGGACTTAGGGCGCAAAAGACACTACTTACGCCCGCAAATTAATGCATAAATGACCTAATTTTAAGACGATTTTACAAAAAAATATTTAGAATTTTCCTCTGAGATTCTTTTACAATTTTCATTGAAAAAGTTCATGAAAAAATAAAACCACGCATCTCTTCCTGGTTCCTAAGTGGATTTGTGATTTTAGTGTGAAACAACCGAAATTTTGCCTTAAGAGTCTCAGTGTGAGTAGAATGTTTGGTCGATTGCACATATGCGTGACGTATGTTGTGGTACCAATATTCAGATGTTTAAAATTAACCCGACCGACCAACGCACACACAACATAATGAACTGAAAATAGCGAGGGCAACGGTTCATTAAGTAAATCATCAAAGATTCCAGCACTTAAGTACATCTGTTTCTAATGAAGAGAATCATTGTTACCGTTTTTGTGGACGTATTTCCTCACCAAATCAGTCAAATTATCGCGTCGGGTGTTAAAATAAGCTTGTTAGGTCCATCAAACGGCCGCTGACATTTTCAAGAAGTCTCAACAATGAAAATTTACTAACGCATTAATGATAAACACATGAGACAGGTATAATAAACAATAATTTCTATAAATAAATTAACGGCGATTGCCGGGTATTCAAACTTCAAAGAGACGGCTTGGATATGTTGCAGTGACCACTTCAGAGGTTTTGTGGCAGTTTTCCTTAGAATGTCCCATAAAAAGTATATACATGTGCTATGCTATTGAACGTACCGTCGTTTTATTGCGGGGTTGAGAACACACCGCTGAACTGCTGTATGCATCTGGTTAGGTAAAATATATTACCACCATAATCTATTTTCGTTCGCCTTTAAACATCTTGGTTTTGTTCCTGTGATCACGCCTTCCTCGATGATTCAACCTAACCGCTCAATATAAAGTCTCTACAAGACAAGAAATGTTTCAAGTTTATCACTTCACTACTATTATGTTGTAGTTATTTATTTAGCAAATTTCTGCTTCCATTTACGTACATTATGATTTTAGAGTAAATCCAAAAATAGAACTCCAATAATCTTACAAGGTGAATCTGTAAACAACTCGCGCTCACAGTATATAAATAGTGGAAAAAAAGGACAAAATTATTACTACCCAAAGTGAAAGCGACAAGGCGATGATATGTTTATACCGCAGAAGTCAAAAAAGTAGCTGGGGTTAAATATAGTCATTTGTGAAATATTAACACCGGAGAATTTCACCAAACGGATATATTCTATGGCATTTCTGGTAATCAAATATAATAAAAAGTAAAAACACTTGAAAATTTACAGAAGTTTGAATATTTTCTGCCAAAAACATAACTCACATTTTTCACTTTTCTTACAGTTTTTTTTTTATATTTATAACTTTTAAAACATTGTTTGCAAGTGTGTGAAATAGTAAATTGCAATAAATCTTAAACGTTATATCTCGTTAATAACGTTTTATTACGCTATAAACTCATTTACTAAATAACTGTAATAAAACTACATAGTTAGTAGTCAGCAACATTATACTAGTGTTAATCTATATCGATGTATAAAAGTAAAAGTAAAAAGGCGATGTAATAATGAGTATAAAAATATAGAACATAACGTACAAATCCATTAATCAATCCACACTTCAAAGAAACCACAGAAGAGATGACAACATGATAGACTTGTTCTTTTTTTATTTTAAAGTGTTTCAAATTTGCATAAAAAATAATCCATTCAAAGATAAGGCTTAGCTATAGAAATCTTACAATTCAACTCTGTACCTATATCCTAAATCGAATTTTAACCATTAGGTTCACTGACTTCACTTGACTAGAAAAATTATCATTTTTCAAGTGAAAGTAAAAAAAGTATTAGTTATAATTATCGGTAACAGAGGTAAGTAAATCATAGCCCTTCTCCACTGCTTGCTTTATAAATTCTGTACAAAAATCAGGAAATCCGTAATTTTTGCGTCAAGAATAATTATTAGGTTTATTAAAAACAATTATATAATCACAATTATCTATAAAATAAAATTAATCAAAAATAATGCAACTCATTTTAAAAATTTCAATTTATACTCGTAATATATAAAGGATGCAACAAAACTTAATAGCTATTGATGTATAAAGAGCATAATGAAGCGTTTTACAGCTCGCATCGTCGAATTGAGTTTTATTATACATCCTTGGCCAAAGGCAGTAAGTCGAGAAAATTATGCTCGAAATTACATACAAGGCTTTATGCAAGGCCTTTAAACAATTTATAGAAAATAAATTTGTATTTTATTCCAAAAATAGTAGGTTAATGTAATAATAGTTAGTTAATGTTGGTAACCATTTCAAATTTTTGTAATTTTTTTCGTTGTTCTGTGTAATTTGCACTAGTTTTTATGTAGCAATCATGGAAGAAAAAGATTCTGAAGGTTGTGGTATATATTGCTGAAGATGACATTGCCTGCTGCGAATGCTGCAACGTCTAGCTTACTGCCAATAAAATTAAAAGAATTTGCTCAAGTGCATAAAATTAACCAAATGCACTAGAGCAGTAATGTGACTATTTATGCACTGAAATCGAGTAGTAACATGTAATTTGGTTGAAAATGCTAGACCGTGCATACATAGTTTTGTATCTTAATTCTTTTCGAAACTATCAAATGATTCAATGATGTGAATTTATTAAATTTGTATTAAAGTGCTTTTTTAGTTTCAGACTAAAGTATCGCCCCTTGTAATAATAAGAACATACACCGTAAAGTAGCAAGGAAGATAGTTAATTCATTTGGTTATTTCAAACAATCATTACTAACAGTTGCAGATATTGCAAGTGTTCCGCTTATAAAAAATTTGCATGATGTATGCTATTCGCTAATAACCCTGCATAAAAATTGCATTCTTGATCAAAATAGACTTGAATGATATAAAAGACATAAATATGTTGCCGTAACAGTGTTATTTTAATGGTCGATGCTGTATAGAACATAATAATTTATTATTTACAATTTATTACGTCCTAAATTACGTAACTCGAATTTTTGCAGAACATACCATAAACTCATTTTAACTGAATATGACATTTGCAATTTACGTACAAGTCGCCTTTAGCAAAGTAGACATTGTGTTGCCTTCATTGAAAAACACAGTCTTGCAAGAAGTCAAGTGCGCGAAATTAAGATGAGTAGATCTGAAATAACTTTGTGTCAAAATCTGGGGTAGTAAACCTGCCGCAGATGCTGCACAAATAAATTTCCAGTAACTTGCAACAAACATTTGTGTCAACGCGCATTTATAAGGAGCTCAAGAAAACAAACAAAAGCTATGTCTAAATAAACCGGAGCGATTTCAATATTCCAGAATAAACAAACACGCGTCTTCTGCAAAAATAAATCATTAAGCTCACAGACGTCAAAAATTACTAAGACAAATAGAGAAAAATTGTGGTTACGGTAAGCTTGTTGTGAACGCTAATTGTCTGAAACAAAAACGTGAATGTGCTAACACATAAATACGAAGTAATACGAAGATGCGGGTTGAGAATTTTACTTGAGACTCACCCTTGCATCCGGTTTTTTTATCAAGCTAACTGAATTTTCAATAGACGAGTTTAGTGTTGTAATGGTCCGATTAGTTATTGGATCAGATCGAAGTATTATTTAACGTAATCCGGTTACTTAGTGAAAAACAACACACTTAACATTGGATTACGGTATTATTAATATATAAATTATCATAATTTTTAATAGAGGTCGATATTAACTAAGTTGAAACCATAAAATCTTTATTTTATTACACTGAGCCATGTTTGGAATCAAGCTGGGAGAATGCTGGCTTTATTTTATTAGATATTAAAATATCGAACGAGATGACTGTAAAAATGACACGTGGACATTTATAGCACCCGGATTTTATCGATACACTTATTCGACTGACGAACTCTGGAACATCCAGCTCGAAGACAGCCAAACCACGTCAATCAGCTCTCATTCCAAAGAACATTAAAATTTTACAAACAAAATGAAATGCTGCATAAAACGTAAAGTAACATTTCTTTTAGAGCAAATCAAGAGAATTGATTAGCGTACGTGATACTTGATTAGGGTTCACACTAATTCAAAAACATTACTTCCGGCTTACCGTGTATCGAGTTGGCAGTGGAATGCTGCAGTGAATAGAGGTACTCCATGTGGGGTGGAAGACGATAAGCGGGATGTAGTTCCCGTCCCAGGAGCTGAAGACCACTTCCAGGACTTCCGCTTACCCTGAAAAAGGAATAAAGCACATGTCAAAACGTTCGTTTATAAAAGTGATGTTCAATTTCACTTTAATTTTTAGATTGCAGATACGCCCACAATACAATTCGGTCAACCGAATGTGCTGTCGCAAGAACAAGTTGGAGGAGGGTTACGTGTTGGACAATTTGATTACCCACTCACAGAACCTTCATTTTGCAATTATAATTATGCCATCACAGGCATGCCAGAAATATTAAAAATCCAGTGAATTGAATTTGCATTCTCAACGAAGAATGTGAAAACACCCGTTATTTTCAAAAAGAGATGTTGATGCAATAAATCCTAAAAACAATTAAACGTAAATAATAATCATTAATTATATTCCTGCCCTAATCCCGAAATAATGATTTTCAAGAAGTCTTTCTAAGAAAAATAATGAACTACATAGATATAGGTTAATGATAAAGTTGTCAATTTATTAAACTTTAATGAACACAATGAATAAAACAATTTGTTGCAAAATTGTAATTATTTATTGCAAGAGATTAAATATCTGAAATATGAAAAAGAAAGTAGCTAAAGAGTGCTGCTTACAGTATTATACATATAGGTATTTACTCTTGAGGGTGAGTCATTCATAATATAGACCCTAACCGATTTTTAGACGCAACCCAAAATACATTTTCACAGATAACTTTGTCAAATCAAATTTATAATTAATATATTATCCTTGTTTAATTAATAAGGAGTTGCAAAGCACACCTGATTTTACGCTATTTGATTAAAATTATACATAGGTATAGGTAGTGACTTCTTAAACAATTTAAAAGTGTAAGAATCGTTTTATTTAAAATAAGTATTCACCATTTATCATAAAATATAGAAATGTAAGTACTAAAAAACTTCTTTATATCTAAATATAATTAAAATTAAATTTTTAAATACCTACTAACAAAAGTAGATAGTAAATCTGTAATACCTATTAAAATTTTCTCGCTTGTGTAAAAAATACTACTTCTTTCAACTATTCTTTATTGTTTAGTATAACTAATAAGCATTAAAAATGCATTTTGAACAATTTATATTTTTAAAATCAAATTCTGGAACAGAAAAAGTTGACAACACTGCCAACATTGAATAATGTAGAGTAGAAATAGAAGATATGAGAAACATTAAATTTTACATCTTATGTTGTGTGTCTATTTTATTCAATGTTGCAAACTAATTTCAAAACCACAGACAATTTTGATTGAAATTTGACTGAAGACACAGTATTTTGTTTTTAATGATTTTCGGTTCGTGTTTGTTAACAAAGTGGACTTGACTGAAAACAAAACGCTTAGATTCTTATCTGAATTTTTATAATATGTACTAGGTACAACTGATATTTCAAATGTGTCCATTTAAGATAATTTGTATTTGTATCAGCTTAACTGATCATAATTATAGATTAATTATTCCAGGATGTTGATATAAAATTTGTTCCAAGTCATTACGATTATCAGCGCACTGAGCGGCGATGTCATCTTGGTCCCCGAAGCCGTGTACTCATTGAATAAATCAATTTAATCTTCTTGACGGATGCACAAGTCGAGAGGAAGCTATTTATATAAGTAATAAAAGCGTATTTTTCGTTACGTAAACATTTATTCAGAAAGCCTCGATCTTCAACCAAGGTGAGTCGATGGAGGATTTCAAAAATATACGGCCAATATAAACGCCAACAAGTTTTTATGGCTGAATAAAAGTTTAATCCAGACTGCATTATCAGGTGTGTCATTCTACATCCAACCAAATAAACACAAGTGGACGAAACCACTGAGACAACCTATACCAGGACGACGGTCTTTCACAGGACGAATGTAATCCGGCTTGCATAAAACACGCACACCACACCGAACGCGTTTGAATCACCTATGTTTTGTTCGCACCTTAAATGTGGGTGTTTTATACAGTTGTACCAAACAAAGAAGGCACACCGTCGCCAACCGAATAATTTGACAATTTGTATACAGGCGCTTCATACATTTACATAAATTCGACGACGGACCCAACTTCGAATGCTTGACCGCTCTATCACCAAATAAATACAAATGAGTCAACTTTCAAACATAAATTACAAATTAAGAGAGGCACTTCGAAAACCTTTATTTTTCCTCTTTAAGTAGACTTAAAATTATTTCTAACAAATTCTAAATTAAATTACTTATCACTTTATTATTTTTAGTCGACAATTTTAAGGTGGTTGCTTCAAAGTGCAATCGTTGCGTGAAGAACAATTTCCGCCTTGTTAGTGTGAGTAAAATAAATATATTGAAATGCAATTTAGAACTTGAAAACCGTGATATAAAGAAACTAAGTCAATCGAGTGTTCAATTGTCAATAACAAGGTTTATTTATTTATTTCACGAGTGAGTGGAAGTTTCGCATGAGACCAGTAATTATAAATCTCAAGATGCGTTTGACGAGATTGGATGTGGAGAGTCCACCCGCCGATAATTAGAGTCTGGTTGGTCTTTAAAAGGCGTTGATGCTTCAAATCAGCATTAATTAAAAAGCGACTTGTAGATTCATTCTGGCGCAAGTAATTTGAATTAATTATTATCGGATCGTGAAGTCCGTGTGCAGCGTATCCATATTCAAACTCACGCTAGAGACGCATTTGCATAGAACACGTTCTTGGTTGCTCTATTAAGGTGTGGGACTGACTGAAAACCGTATCTAGAGCTTTAGTAGCTACTGGAGTCTTGCCTTTTAAATTAGAATCATATAACTTGTCATAAATAATCATAACGAAAGCGGCAATGCAGGAAATGCACTATTAAATGGTCGGCTTCGTATTTATTGAAGAATATGAGAAAAATTGAAAAGTTACGACAGACAAGCCCAACTTACATTATTGCCGCAACATATTTAAATTAAATGCGTAAGCAGTTGCAACAACTCAACGGATTGATGTATTTATGAACGATACATAGATCGAAATTATTGACCATTGAAAAGTTCAAGGATGGTCCAAGTGATAACAATAGAAATGTGGTAAAAAAACATGTGAAAACAGAAGCTGGAACAAATTCTTTAATCGTTTTACCGAGAAAAAAGTTTAATGCTGGTAGCTATAACAAATGATCATCATCGACCTTTCCTCGAGCTATATTGCAGTCCTGGACCAATTTTGCTCGCCCGGGAATAATAATCCAATTTAGACTCGGCTATCTACCTCCAAATAACAGACATAACGCTGGGGTTATTACTAGTTTATAGGTTTCTGATGTTCAGTGTTTTTTCTTATTGTTGTTTGTTCTGCAAACAAAGACATCAGACCCACGCTAATCGACACAAATTTGTTATTTTGCAAACTGTGAATATAATATTTAGGCTAAAACTTTCAGACACGATTAAATGACAAAAAAAATAGGTAAACTAAAAGTCATTTATGTCACAAACAAAATTAATGTGATGTGTGCTAACTAGTAGTAGGTACATCTACCCGGTAGAATGCAGCTTAAAAAAATAGTCATCAATATTCACAAGTTCTTCCAATAAACCTTCAACGAGAAATTAAAAAAAAAAGAAAATCTCTCACTCAAGGAAGTATTATAAACCATTTAACTTTACAAAAATTTTTGAAACACTTAGCTGCAACGTTTTTTTAATAAACCAATTTTTATTAACAACTCGTGTACTACATACATTAAATCTTTCTTTCTTTAATCACAATTTTATAATATTACAAAAAATTCTAATAGCTAGTTTGGAATAATTTTTGTATATAGGATGTCAAATATCATAGAAAGCATTTTGAATTTTGAACATTTCTGGTGAAGAACTTGACTTTGAAAATATTATCATCAATATTGAACTATTTGCATTAAACTACCAATGCTGGAAAGGTGGTAGTAGTTAGTACTCGTATACCCTAAAAAAATATTTTTTAAATTTTTTTCTGAATATTAAATTTGAAATCAATGAAAAAACAAGATGGCATTAAACTTCGTTTAATAATCAAATGCTTAATATTTGAATCCTTTTAAAAAATACTACTTGTATGTACAACATATATTTGAAAAATGCTCTTACTCATACTCTTACTAGCCCTTAAAATTTAATAGTTTTCAAAAAGCATAGTAATAAATCAGTTTAGTGATAAAGTCATAAATTTTTAAATTGATTCTACGGTTTGATCGCTTTAATGACTAATGACACAACTTTTAAAAAATTACAGATTTATTGCTTACAGTGAATTTAAAAAATGAGCAAATTAATATCACAATCAGATTGTAACCAAACAATAAGAATTAATACAATTAACTGCAATAGTATATTAACAAACAAGTTTTATAAACACTCTCATTGTACTACGAGTAGTTAGAAATGCACGAGTACCTAATGAATTCATTATTATACATGTTTGTYAGTTAAAATTGATCACACTTGAMGTATGGGGGACCTAAATCACTTGAAAATAGCTCAAATTGCATTCGTTTCGGTAAAATATGTGGATCTACAACAATTTCTCACTTAAAATCGACAGTTTGCAGCCAGTGATGGCCAAGGTATTAAAAATGTTAAAAAAATGTTAAATGTTAAAAAATAATAAAATGTTGGCAAAAAACAATGTCACAAAAATGAATTTTAAACTGTTTTCAGTTGCACAAAATGCTCATTGTAACACCAAAACATAAAAAAAATATTATATTTCTAAAGTTTTAAAAAGTTACAGGCGATCATTTCGAAACCGTCAATTTCTGTGTTACAATTTAAATCTAGATTGCAGACCAGTGGTAATAAAAATAATTTTCCCTTCGATCCGGTTTAAGAGATGCTTGAAATGTGTCATAACACTTATACCGTACACAGGTGTCCATTTAAATAACATAGCATGTATGCGCTTCCAACGACTAAGTGAATAGAGTACTTACGGATAGCTTGTATCATGGTTTATCAAGATCTTGATGGCTATTGCTAATAAAGCTGCTATCTTACTTCCTTGCCACCAGTACAGAAATTATGTTTATTTCCATTAT